GAGAACCACATGTCATTCTAATACCTAGGCATGACGGATGACCTTTGCAGCTGGCTAGGAAAAAGTGACTGGCGAGTCAAACCGACCCTTCCTTGTTTTTACATGTATGGGTTGCTTTCCCTTTCTCAAAAAAACAAGAGATAGCAAACAGTAACTGGCCTATTGGGGTGTTCCGAGCCAGCAAGCTACAAAGTTAATGGACTGGTTTTTAGGGCATGGTGACCTGCAGGAATGAGCAGGAGTAACAATACGCTTCTTTTATAGACTCTGTATCTGGATGGAAATCACATGCCCCTATTATTACATAACTTCAGGAATACAAGGTGGTGCCTTGCCTCTGTCTGTTTAGGGCCACCACACTCCCCCTAGGATTGCATCTATCCTCTATTTTCTTTTCTCTTACACTTACTCTTTGGTCACTCGCAAGCTCAAATCAGAGTGCTTTCTTCCCTCATTTCTAGATTTATGCAGAAAAATCAGCATATGTATTTGCCTTGATTTTTTTTCGCCATTAATATGTGACGATGCCCATAGCAAAAGTGAGCATAAGGAATTAGGAAGGTTGGACTCTCTGGGAAGGTATGAAGATGTGAATTGTCTCCTCAAAGGTCTATTCTTTTCAGTTGTATCCAGTACACGCAGGCTGGATCAGTACGTTTTTGCTAAAGCATCAGCTTGAGGGTTCTATTATAGAAACAAAAGGGCGTTATGTTTCAAGAAAAGATGATGGGCGCAAGGGGAACTCACCACCTTCTACGGTGCTGGCAACATTCAAGTTGTGTCCTGTGTGCTGTAGTCTACAGGCTGGGGTACCTCAGACCCATCAGAACAGAGTCTGTTGTTCTCTCTAAACACATTACCTTGCTGATCTGACTCTCCTCAATAATACAGAAAGGGTTCTTTCTGTTGAAGCTGTCAACTCTCTGAAGGTACCGAAGAAAGGTACTGAGGTGATCTTAGTAGAATAGCGGGTGAAAAGAGGGGCAGTTTATCCATCAGCCTCCCATAACAAACATTGCATAAAAGAGAATAAGTAGCAGGAAGAAGGTGAAGTCCTGGTTTTCTTCACCTCTTTCTCTAAGTTAGTTGCTGAAACCTGTGAGAGGTGCCTGCCACTATTCACATCTCAAAATCTCCTTCAGAAAAGCACTCTTAAAGAGGATTCTGTTCACTAGAGAATGTAACTGCTGCTTGTGACTGACAGGTTTTGCTCAGTCTCCAAACTCCAGCAGTCTGAGAAGCAATTCCAGATTGAAGGATCGTAGCATCGAGAAGGTAAGAGCTACAAAGACAAAAACTCTGATTCTCAGGGCTGTTGGTTGTTTGGTGAAAAATGCAAAAGATTGTATTTGACATAATCTTGCTTTACCCCCAAACTTATGAATAAGTGCTGTCAAAAAAGTGGCTGTCACCCAGATTAAGTTTAGTAAAGCCACACAAAGAAGTTAAACCAAAATAGATGATCCAAGGTCACCCTGTATTCTTTTCTCAACAGTTGAATTTCAGCTAGAGGAAAACACAAGGTCAAATTAACGTTTGCTACAAACAGATGTGTTCTCTTCGAAATAAATGCACCCACTTAATGCTCTCTGCCTGCATTAAGTCTGTTACTGGGTTTTTATGAGCTTTGGCAAGTGCAGTGAAATCTGTTAATATCTGAAGACGGGAGTGTTCAGGGAGTTGTCTGAAAGGCTTGCAAGACCAGATCTGATCATATCCACCCACGCTAATTAACACATTACATAAAAGTACAAGTTTTCTTCTTGCAAACATCAGAATTGCTTGCCCAGGCACTTTCACTGAAGTTCTAGAAGAACTATAGGGTCGGACTCTGTCATTTTTTCACCTCAACAGAACAATGAATGAGTAGGTAGGGTACAGTTTCCACTTTCAGGGCTCACTCCTTTTCTTCATCCTGCTAAAAACATGCCATCAGCAGGGATACAGATGGAAGGACCTTTTTAAAGTTGACCAAAACTGCATGAGGGAATGTGATTTTTTTTTTTTTCTCATCAAAAACAAAATACACAATCAAATAATGAACATGAGGAATCAGATTTACTTACAAAGGACTCCTCCTCTCCCTGACCCACCTCGCTACTTCTGAAAATTACTTTGTACAAACACCAGCCTCTGAAAACACCTGGAATGGAAAAATCTTCCTATTTAAATAGGGTCTTTTTACGTCGGGAGAACACATGTCCCAAAACGGCTAACATTTCTCAATCATTCCAATTTAAAACAGCAGTAATCTCCTGTATAAAAACTATAGTAAGGGGTCTTCTTCAGATTGGAGCAAGTAAAACTGGAAGAGCTTAGCTAATTTCATGTGAAACTTCTGTGATCTGCTTCTACAACTTCACCTAGATTCCTCCAGCAGGATAATAAATACATACCCTGATTTAAATTTACTCCAGACTCTTTGTATGACATCTGGCTTCAAGATGGTGGCACTGAAAAGTGCAGTAATGACATAGGAAAACAGAAGGAAAAAAAAATAATTGTGCAGTGGAAAGCACGAGGCAGTGGAGAGAGCAGGGAAAACCAAAATTAAAGTAAGTCAAAGGGCGGAAATTCCTTTGAGAAGGCCTTAGGCTTCAACAAAGCTTGTCCACATTTGCAGCACTTCAAGATTACCCAATACTAACCTTATGTGAAAAGGGACAGTAGACCTCAGCATTCCACAGAAGCCTTTCTATTAAAAATGTCTTCAAATGTATCCATCCAAATTTGCAAGTAACTCACTGGATGTAGAGCATTCTATCTTGCAACACTCACAAGAGAATAAAGTCTCTTACCCAACTCTTCCTTACTATCTGAAAAGCAAAGTCAATGTCTTCCTCATTATTTTGTGTTTGCTGCATACCTCTCCCCCACTGTGACTGCTATTTGACCTGCTGTCCGCTCAGAGACCCCGAGGGCAACAGAGCGGGAGGCT